AAAAAAAGGGGCAAACAATCTGAATAGACATTTTTCCAAAGAAGATACATGAATGGCCAACAGGTACATGAAAAGATGCTCAACATCACTAGTTATTAGGAAAATGTAAATTAAAACCACAATGAGATATCGCCTCACTCCTGTTAGAATGGACATTATCAAAAAGACAAGAGATAACAAATGCTGGCATGGATGTGGAGAAAAGAAAACCCTTGGGCACTGTTGTTGCGATTGTAAATTGGTGCAGCCACTATGGAAAAAGTATGGAGGTTCCTCAAAAAATAAAAAATAAAATTACCATATGATCCAGCTATTCCACTTCTGGGTATTTATCCAAAGGAAGTGAAAATGTTAACTTGAAAAGACATATGCACCCCCATGTTCACTGCAGCGTTATTTACAATAGCCAAGACCGGGAAACAACCTAAGTGTCCACTGATGGATGAATGGATAAAGAAGTTGTGGTGTATATACACATTGGAATATTATTCAGCCATAAAAAAGTGAGAAAATCCTACCATTTGTGACAACATAGATGGAACTTGAAGGCATTATGCTAAGTAAAATAAGTCACAGAAAGACAAAGTGTATGGTCTCACTTATATATGAAATCCAAAACAAAGCAGCAAATTCATAGAAAGAGATCAGATCTGTTGTTACCAGAGGGGTTGGGGTGAGGAGGGGACTGGAGGCGGGTGGTCGGAAGACAGAAGCCTGCGGCTATCAGACAGGTAGTTCTAGGGATGTGCTGTCCGAGACGACGACTGCACTTAACGCTGCTGGATGGCGCACAGGAAAGCTGTTTGAGAGTAGATCCTAAGAGTTCTCTCACAAGAGAAAAGATTTTTCTTTTCTTTTTATTGTATTTACATGAAATCATGGATGTTAACTAAACCTATTATGGTAATCATTTCACAATATATGTAAGTCAAACCACCATGCTATGCTGTACACCTCATACAGTGATGTCAATTATTTCTCAATAAAGCTGGGAAAAAATTTTTTTAAAAAATGATAGGACAGGCAGGTAACAGCCAAAAGATGAAATGGTGCACAACACAGCATGCCAGGGCTTTGGGATTTAAAATGAAGGCAAAATTTTCTAAGGTGCCGTCAGAGAATTTTAAGGAGACTACCAATCAGATTTGTATTTTAAATCACTTGGGAGGCTGTGCAGAGTGCACTGGCACAAACAGGCGTGCCACAGTAGGCAGGAAAATCTATTGCTGTAATCCACATTTGTAATAAAGGTTTAAACTAAAGCAGGGTGCCACCAAATAAACTGGGAAATACAGGAACAAAGTGAGATGGGGATGAGGGAGATAATATTCAACTTTGGAGTTTAAGGAATTTATGTAATGACCATTAATGGAATTGGATATATGACTTATAACTCAGAAGTAACATCTAGCTGGAAGTTGACGTTGTATATAATCAGCACAGAAGTATTAGATAAAGACTTGGGCAAAGATGAGACTATCCAAGGTAAGTGTGTTAAACTGAAAATCAAAGGCTCAAAGATGGAGTCCTTGGGAACTCTAATATTCAAGAGTCAGGCATAAGCGAAACAGAGTAAAAAGGCAACTTAGTGAATGGGAGAAAATATTTGCCAACCATCTATCTGATAAAGGGTTGGTCTCCAAAATATATAAGGAATTCCTACAACTCAAGAGCAAAAAAATTAATAACCCAGTTAAAGGGCAAAGGACTTGAACAGACATTTCTCCAAATGTAAGTGAACACAAGTGAGGCCATCTTGTTACACTAAATGATCCCAGCCTCTCCTCTGTGTGACTACTCGCTGCTCGGCACGTACTCTAAAATAATTCACGTGCTCTCCTGATTTATGGCTTCCGCTTACGTCTGGACTTCGCTATAGCTTGATAAATTAAAACTTTGTTCTATGAGCTTCTCTCCAGGAACAGGCTGACCACAGGCAGGAAACACACCTACAAGATATTCATCATCAGTGACAGAAGAAAAGAACAATGAAAGACCCTGGAGTCTGTAATGCGGGAAGGCCAACATTTCTAACCCTCCTCCTTACTGCCCATTTTCCCTATAGAACTACATCAAGATTCTGTAATTCTGAAGACAAGTTTTTTGAGACGTAGTCACCAATATTCTGATTATGCCAGTGAACAGAACTAAAGCTTCCCTCCTCCATCTCTAACTCACGACTAACTGGCTCAGATCGCAGCAAGCAGACCAAGCCCACTGCTCAGTAACACAAAGAAGACATAAAAGTGACCAACGGGTATGAAGAAATGCTCAGTATCACTAATCATCAGGGAAATGGAAATAAAAACCACAATAAGATACCACCTTATACCTGTCAGGATGCTATTATCAAAAAAACCAAAAGACAACAAGGGTTGGCAAGGATGTGGAGAAACTGGAACTCTTGTGCTGTTGGTGAGAATGCAAAATGGTGCAGTGCTATGGAAAACAGTGTGAAGGTTCCTCAAAAAACTAAAAACATAACTACAACAATCCCACTTTTGGATATTTATCCAAAAGAACTGAAATTAGGCTCTCGAAGAAATATTAGCACTTCCATGTTCACTACAGCAGTATTCATAATAGTTAAGATGTGGAAACAACGTAACAGTCCACTGACAGATGACCATTCATCTGACCATAAAGAAAATGTGGCATATACAAATACTGGAATACTATACAACCCCCAAAAGGAAATTCTGCACTATGTGAAAACACAGATGAACCTTGAGAGCATTATGTTAAGTGAAACAAGCTAGTCACAGAAAGCCAAATGCTGGATGATTCCACTTCTATAAAGTATGTAAAATAGTCTAATTCATAGAATCAGAGTAGAATGGTGGTGGCCGGGGCTGGGGGGAGGGGTATATGGGGAGTTACTAATCAACAGGGATAAAATTCCAATTGTGTTCTTACTACATAAAATTTTAAAACAAGAAGACGAGTCAGGCAGAAGAAGTGAGATGAAGAAAACCCAGAGAGAGGTCTTACTGAGTCTAAGGAGAAAGCTGCAAAGGAGGAGTTCCTAATCCTGCTGTCAAGAAGCCACATAAGGTAAGCATTGAAGAGGGTCAGCTACATTGGCTAAGATGACCTTTCTGGGTCATTGTGGAGAGATACAAGAGGAAGTCAGATAGTACTAGTAGGGTGAAGAGTACCTGGGAAGCGAGGAAATAGAGGTAGCTGAGTGCAGATAACTGTTTCAAGAAGCTTTGTTGACACAATGGGAGGATGGTCTTACTGTACTACTGTGTGGAATAATAAACTTTTCATGCATTCTTTAGGAAAGATTTAGCAGGGATTAACAGTTTGCTTATTCCTAAAACAGACCAAAAAACCCTGGAAAACAAGGCAAAAAGAAACATAAGCCGAGTCATTAAATTTTTAAAAGATGAAATAGATGTATTCAATGAACAGTATTGGAAAACTTTCATGATTGGCAAAACAAAAACAATTATGAGTTTATTAACAATCACACCATTAAGGTGATGCTCACGTGACACACAGGCTTGAGTGTCTCTGGACAACAAGAGTATCACCGATAACCCAGCAACTGACTGGACACATAGTCCAAACCCATCACTTGGCTGGGAAATCAGATGGCAAAGAGGCCGAGTCTCACTCAGGAAGCAATCTTTGATCTGTTTCTAACAGGAAATGTTTGGGGAAAGCACAACATCCACACAGGATCACACTGCAATTTAAAAAACAGCACTGAGTTGCTGTACTTACTTGAAATTAACTTAATACTGTTATCCATATTACTTTTCTAAGTAAGACAAGGAATAACTTTTCTTTTGTTGCTTTCACCTAACCTATATTGACAGGAAGACTACTGAGGAGTAACTAAAAAAAAACTTAAAAAGCAAGGGGCCAACATTTTGAACGAATTTCAATTTAAATGTCAATTGCTAGGTATAAAAATTTGAGAGTACACCCTTAAGAAAATATTCGTTATCTGAAGCAGAGCTGTCCTAAGATAATGCACACAAACCAACATAGTCTATTTAATAAAAATATTTAATGCTGCCAAAAAAGTATAAAAATACAGTAGGAATGGCAGTACAATACAAAGTAGTCTCTCCTAGTTTATTTCTTTTACATCTTTCTACATTTCATACACACATTTAAAAACTTAACAATACATCAAATTAGAGGGTTCTGCAAAGTCTTCTGCTGGTGAAGCTCTTCATTCCCTGGATGTAAAGTTTACTTTGTAAACAGACAAATGTGAGGCAATCTACAGGTTTATCAAGCCTCACTTTAGTTTCCGGAGTGGGCTTCAGGTCTTGCTTTGCACATCAATGGTTCAAAATTTATAGCTGCAGAATATTCTCAAGTCATGAATATTTAGGTGTCTGTCAATCTTGGCCTAAAACATAAAATAAGAAGTCATCTATTCAATTCATATTTACCAAACACACAGACAGACAGATACACACAAACATAAAAGGACTAACAAGGAACTAAAAAGGCAACTGAAAAACATTCCAACGTATCACATTCAGCCACACTAAGCGCTTCACTGTTATCTTGGTAAAACTGCTTCAGTGCTCGATTTTCAAACAGAATTGGTGGTGTGAGGTAGACTCATGTTAAAGCACCATAACTCATACTGTTTGTCAAGAATGGCTATGACTTTTTCAGGTCATCCTTTATTACTCAAGAAATGACCTCCATGTGAGATACTGACAGACAGACAGGTTTAAAAAAAATGTACCCACAACAGTTTAGCAAGATTATATGGTATGCGCTAGACTTACCAATACTTTGGAATTCAACGCAAAAGTCTAATCCAATTTGGACCTCCACTGTATCATACTGCTAAAAATATTATGAACGTAATGTTTGAACATAAAGTTGGCTTACAGCTTTAATCATGGACTGTTAGCAGCATGCTTTTTGTCCTGAAGGTAATACTAATGGTTATAGAAATACAGAACTGAAGTAACACGATTTAAGTTACTATCATTATAAAAGAAAACACAGACATAAAATAATTGAGAGATTTATTGTATTTTAATGCCAAAAAGTAAAGATAAATGAGAGTTTAAACATGTGATAGACAGATGAAATAACTATTTGAAGGGCAGCTGAGTTTTTGATGTTATTTCACAATATCTGAAAATAGCTGAACTTTTGAGGAGGTAAATGGTATTTCCATTTTCCCCCCAACATCCCTTGCTATGACAAAAAAAAAAAAAAAAATCTAAATATTTGTCATTATGGTATCTCCATGTATATAAATAGGAAATATAAACCACACCCATACATTTATCCAAAACATTTAGTCAAAAACCTCGAAATACTGCAAATTGGGCTTCTTCCAACTACTGGCTCCTTCTACTGAAGGAAAAAATAACAGTAACAATGACCTTGCTGTTCTGAATAACCCTTTTCTTTGATTTTCCAGCACTGATAGAGAAATTGTCAAGTCATCAAGAAGACATTCTCATTAGATATCTGTGGTCATAAAACCTTCTATGCATGCTCACTGCCGGGATCTACGGCAACCTGAACCAAAGTGGTCAAAATAGGGAAAGGTACTTATTGATTCTGATGGCTGCAAGATACATACTTGTTTGCCACACATTCAGAAGTCTGCTCTTTAAAACAAAAAAAATTTACTCTAAGCAATCAAAGTGAATGAAATGGTTTGGTTTAGAGAATATTCTGATGTTCCAGCGTTTCTCTGGTTCATTGGTAGTTCAAATCATTTCACAAAATTTTTTGGAGGGAAAAAATTTGACTTGTTTCACTTAAAAAATAAAGAGGGTTACTTTGAATTTTAACAGGTAAAAGTAGTTGTCTAAACATTTGGTTTAAATACTCCATAAAAAGAGCCAGTGTGACATAATGGAAAAAGTATGAGGTTTGGGTTTGGGGAATTCTACAGACTGGAGTTTAAATTTTAGCTCTGTCAGGTACTAGCTGTGCAATCTTGGGCAAGTTACTTATTTTTTGACCAGTTTTCTTACCTGAAAATAGGGGTAACGTGATATATCTAGAAGTGTTAAGTGGGTTAAATTTAGATTATGTCTTTAAACTGACTGGCAGAACTGTAGGTGTTCAACATACACTTTGTCTTCCCCAACAGTGTGTTAAAAATACACTTACCAAGGATAAACTATCATCTATAACAACTAGAAGAATTTGACAGCATTTTTAAAAATTCATTTATTTCTTTCTTTGTAAATATTATTCTGGGAGATAAGAAAATAAGATGAAATCATTGGAAGTGTTAACTATTTTAAAGGACTACTTGCAAGAGTGAAAAGATAAATGGGCTTCATTTTAGGAAAATATATGTCCACTTGAATCATTTTTGGCTGTTTTATTTAACAAGGCAAAAGTAAAACGGGGCCAAACAAATGAGGTGGAATTAGCCACGCTTGGTGCTTTCTTTGAGAAAGCGGCCCTTGCACACTGCCAATCATCCTTATTCTAGAAGGGGATGCAGGCCAGCTTTACAGACAGAGCATCATCTTCCCAAGCTAGCTCCCCATCTGAAGTCATAGAATGTCAAACTGCATCCTAAGCAGTTTTTGTCAACAGATTTTCACACTAATATTTTAATGAAAAGAAACATAAAAACTTCTCTATAGTGAGCAAAGTATTACCTTATAGATCAAATCAACTTACCTAGTTTTCCTTTCCTGAATTCATCAAACTCAAAATAACTTGTTCGTTTTTATAGTAATTTGAACTATTAACATCATCATGTATCTATAAAATCTATGCGATATTAGAGCAACAATAAAGAGCTGATGCTTTTCTTTAAAAAACGGTCTCAATAAAGAAAAAAAGTCCCATGCAATTCTCCTTATAGTTCCCCAAAACATACTACGTAATGGAAAAACAGAGAGTATTAAAGTAGACTCTGTAAACGATAAATCCTGTAATTCCCATATTCCATGCTAAATTATAAAACCTATTAAAATAGAAAGACTTCAAAAGACTGGACTTTTCATTCTCCCAATGGACTGTTCAGAGATGGTCAGAGCTCTTTAAAATCTTTTCTTTGTCAGGTTGTTACTGATAAAGACAAAGCCTCTCAAACCAAGTAAAAGCTTCTCAGTTTGATTCACTGCTTACGCTTGACAACACTCTGTGATGGAGTAAATAGCATACAACATGAGAAAAGGATCAGCAATGACAGTAAGGAAAAAATTCTCCTCAAAGAAGTTTCCAGAATCCAGTAGCCAAAGGAGACAATCATTTCTCTGAAGAATGTTGAGAGAAAGCACTCGTGCAGAATTGCTCAATGCTGTTCTTGGAGCAATGTGAATGTGGTAAACATTGAGAAAATTCCTGCTGCTGAGGAAAAAAGGAGATAGCCAAACTCATACCATTTTCCTAGAAGATTTTTCTTCAGAACACTACCCAAGAAAGTGGGTAGCTTAAAATTCCCAAATGAAAGGCTTAAACTCCCAAATCTTGAACAATGAAATGGCTATATTATGGCCACATACACAAAATACAGCCAGTAAGTGTGCAGTATCTCTCTGAGGATTCCTGGGTAGAGCAGGCACTGTGGAGCTTACAAAAGTGAGTTTCTTCCCACCAATGCGTGTTATCATTTACGTATATTGAATAGAAGAAGAGAGAGCTACAATTTCTAACACAGCCACTGTTGTAAGGGCTGTTGGTGCTGTTGTCCCACCAACAGTACTTTGAAGATAGGAATAAGGAAAAATGGGATCAAATCCAGACAAATGAATTAAAGAAACAGGTCAATTCCAGAATAAACCATTCAGGAAATGACGAAGATTTGTATTTTAAGTCAGGAGAACTTAATTTCATTATGTGGAAAAATATTATGCTTCTATTCTTCAAAATTTTATTTATGAGATTTTGTGTCCCATCATCTAAATTAAGTCAAAGCCAAATGGGTTTCTTAAAGTAAAAGAGATGTAATTAGCTGTTGATGTAGAAATAAGAACACAGAACAGACATTTCTGCTATACAGCTAGTTCCAGACCAGGATTGATGTACCAAGTTCTGACCTCGGTCCCCACTCCCTGGCTCCCCGCCCCCCACTAGCGCACAGCAGATTTAGAGATCACACTCTTGGTCCATGTTCTCTACCCCACTGACAAACTCACGTGGGCCCATGAGACGAAAAAATAAATCAATGTTTACAGAAGGTGTGATTCCTAGGCTCCTGTCTGAACATGGGAAGAAATGGACGCTATACATAACGGCATTAGATGATAATAGACTATACTTAAGAAAAATCTCTAGATGATTTGTATCTGAATGTAAAAATCAAGGCAGACTAGATTTTAAAATCTGTACAATAACCAGGCAGGCACTTTGCAAATCTAAGTACTCATTAAAATAGAGTATATAATGATTCATAAAAATATTTCTAATATAATCAGGTTCTGGCCTGTGTCTATTAATATAGAATCTAGTCAGAGATATTTTTCTAAGAGGGAAATGACTTGCAGAAGGTAAGTCTTTCTCTAAGAATTATCTAATTCTAAAATATACTATATATATGAGACTTTTCAATGGTAGCACCATAGAAGAATATAGAAGTATCAAGTCTCAGGTTGATTATGGCTTAATAATAACACCACCTACCTCAAAAGTTTGTTGTGAGGATTAAATAGGATAATATATGAAAACTGCTTAGCACAGTGCTTGGCAAATAGGAAACGATCAGTAAATGGTAGCAACCATCACTGTAAACTGATGCTGAAAGCAAAGAAGGAATTGATGTAAAAACTGGAGGACTGCTCCACGTTATAAACTACTTTTTAAACTGATACATATTTTTTGATTCATACCATCAATTCTAATTTATTTAAAACAAAGGAACAAGCAGAAGTGTACATAAAGTTAAGAGTCACAACTCCTTCCTCTGACATACCTGTTAAGCAGAGCTATTTAAAAAAAAATTAACAAGTTTTCACTTTCTTTCTCTTTTTTTTGTTCATTCCTTGGTAGAAATAGTAATACATAGTGAAATGAACCAAAAAGATAGAAGAGGAACATGACAGAGCAAACACATAAAATATCCTCTAAACATGAGAAATGATCTTTATATTGTTCTAAAGTTCTCTATGCACTTTAACATATTACTTTTTTTAACCCAAGAATTCAGGAAAAGGGTATTATTTTTATTTTATATATGGATAAACTAAATATAGAGAATCATATTTTTACATATTATATATGTGCAAGCATATCTAAAAATGAGTAGTGGGACAGCATGAAATACTTGGGTAAACTTGGAAACGAATATATAACCAGTTGGTGTAGCCAGAAAAGATGGCATTAAATCAAAAGTTGCTGTCAGTTTATTAGCAGGGATAGATATGAACATAAATGAAGTCGATATTAATGTAAATATTCTTTCTTAAAATAATAAAAGCCTCTGGTTTTTAAAAAAATCTTTTTTTCCTCCTTATTTAAAAAATACTACCTCAAAGTCAAACTACACAACTGACTTTTAAAATTTGTTATAATTAGAAAATATGATGAAGACCTAAGGATACAAATTTTATAAAGCTGCAGAACCCATCAAGGATTACTAACTTTTCCTCTGCTCGCCACCTGAGAAGGCAAGAATGATAGCTGTGTCCTCCTCTCCTAGTAGCATACCTCATTTAATAAAGGGTCAGGACGATGACCGTGGGCACCACAGCACGTTGCCATATATTTTCAATAATTAGTACATTGCACCCACCAAAAATATTATTAATGGTAAAAACTTAACACATTATCCTCAAGGATCTGCTTGAAGGAGGAAAGATGACTAACCCTTGCAGAAGTCCAGCAAGTGTTCACTATGCTGAATATGATTGAAAAATATATTACAACAGATGCCATCCAGAAGGACAGAGAGCAGACAAAAAGCAAAGCGGGAATAGCGAATCCAATGAAGCGCATTTACCCAGCAAAGGGGCAGTGTGCATCATTGTCGGCATTTGTTTTGTATAAGAAGTCTTTACCTTTTTGTTTAAAGCAAGGCTATCTTCAATTGGAAGTTTAATATGGTCTATTCATATTTGACTTGCAAAGTAATATACTGTATTCTAGCAAAGATAAATCAAGGTAAATTGGAAAGAAAGACTTTAAACCAATAATGACCTAAGATGTTAGGGTTTGCTGCCTGAGCATAGGTTTAACGCAGACAGACATAAGAAAACGTCCCTCTTACCTCCTCTCCATTTAAAGGTTACAGGACACAGTAATACTGAATTAGGACACAGGCACAAGTTATACAAATCTTATTTAATGTGTAGTACCACCTACATCCTTTCATACTTTCAGCATAATTTAACACATTCAAGAAGGCTACTCAAATCAATTCAAGATACCTATCTATACCAATGGTTTTCAAACTGTTTTTTAAATTATAACTGCACTTTTAAAATAATTAAACCTCATGCAGAAATCTTATGTAGTATATAAAATAGATAAAGCAGAGATGGTCTGGTTAAAAGTAAGGGTAGAAAACTTGGAGTCTTTCCTACCACCTCTTGGCGACCCCTTAGAAATCCAATGAGCATAGTTTGAAAACCACTGAAATAATGTGATTTCATTATTTCAGCAATTAAATTTATAACAACTATTTAAAGTTTAAGTTAAACAAGTTAAACACTGAAAGGAATGCTGGAATCTGACGAAAGCTAGCACTCAAATGAGCAGTTAAATTCATTAAACAGTAGGCTTTAAAAATACCCATTAAGAAGTTAAAGGGACAATGTAAGGTTCGTACATCATCATACTATTTATTGAAGTAGAAAGAACTTGAAAAAATTTTTACTTCAAAACTTCAGTCTAGTAAACTGAAATCATGGATAATAAAATGCTGCTCCTTATTTTTATTACCCAAATCATGATTTACCCCAATTATAAATTACGGTAATTACACTGAAATTTTCATGAAAAATAAATGGTATTAATAATGGGCTTTATAGAAACCGATTTCTTTACAAAGTCTTGATCAACTGTTACCTGACTACGTCAGTAAGGAGAATTTTCCTTCAAAGATATTTTTAAGGAAAATATTTGTTTGTTTGTTTTTCTTTTTAAAATTGGGAAACCGTAAAACATAAAAGAAATGCAAATATATAGTAAAAATTGCTTATTCAGAGATCTAACTGCTCATATCAAACTTCTTGTAGGAAAATGCATCCAGTACAACTGAGTCAACATACAATTTATTTTTTATGGTAACAGATTTTGCAAATTGAGCTTTTAAAAAGTACATTTAACTACAAAAGTAAGATTAAATAGGTACTTATAAAATATATTTACCCTGAAATGGTTAAGAATATAAAATGTTGATGCCCATATCAATAGTACATTATACATTACACACATTAAAGGTCATTTTCTTTCCAGTAATAATTTAGATAAAACCATGATATTTATTGCTTATATCAAGTGCAGGTCAAAATCCAGACAGCCTCCAAAAACAAATCCTTCTGATAAAGGATTTCTCAATCTCGTCAAGTGAAATTTTACGCTTAACATATACGAATACAGTTGCAAAATGTACCAGTTTTTAACAAGCATTAAAGTCTTTATTTTAGATAGCCATTTACAGTCTGGGGGCAGCGCCCTGAGATGTTGCGCTGGGGACTGAATATGTCACTTATCTGGTTGGTGTCTATTCTACTGCACCGTTTTTGGGTATGAGGAGTTTGCTAACAGACAAACTGTTGTGATTAACACCACACTGTCAGCTACTAGTGCAGAAGCTTGCTGGGCAGAATTAATTTTTATTTATAGAACGTTTTGCTGAAAAAACAGTGTCCAGCCAACAAAAGCGCCAACCAAAATGACTGACACAAACCCCATCTTAGTGAGAATAGGTTGCCAATATAACCACCTTTTTCTTTTTCGTTCAGTCTCATTTAGCCTCTGTTTCATCTGCTGCACCTTCTGAGCCGTGTTAGCTTTTCTGTCCTCTCGAATACGTTTCCGTAGAACACTAGGAACAAACAAAAACAAATAAAAGGAAGTGCACAGCAGGACTTAATCACTCTACCACAGAGGACCTCAGCTCAAATACCCCCCTCCGCATTTTTCAACTCATTCAAACACTGGAATAAGATAAAGGAAAAAGCCTCAATATTCTAAATCGTCCAGAGATGCACTGATAATTCAGCAAAAGTTTTTAGTATAATTTTATATTAATAAATACTTTTAATAGAACCTGAAAATAAGAATGGTGCTTTCCTTCTTGAAACATAAACTGGTGATAGCCAGTTTTCTCTCTTTCTTTTCTTTGCTAACCAGCTAGCAGAAGTGGAAAGACAAGTGGGTCCCCCAGCATCTAATCCCTTTTCAGATTTTTAACTTTTCACAAAGCCTCCTGATAAAAGCTTATCTACTAAATATTTCCATGAATATTCTGTTTGGGAGGGCCAACTGCTCTGTTTGTCCATGCATACTTCTAGCTCCCATTTCGCTAATTAACAAAGAAATTTTGTTCCAATGGAAGGTCTTTGGCTCTCAAGATACACGGTCCTAGGACACCATAAAGAAGAATAGCAGATAGCAATATGTAAGTTACTATTTCTTTCCTTTAAAAAAAATCTCACAAAATCCATTTCCTCTTTTCACTTATTGCCTATATTACAGCAAAAACCTAATCAGTTTCCTTGCTTCCAAGTTAAACATTATTGCCACAGTAATTTTTCTAAAGCATAGCTCTGATTGCATAGCTTGATAAAAAATCTCCAATGCCTCTTCAGTGTCTACTATGTTAAGAGCCAACTTTTTTCCTGGCCAAAATGTTTAACCTGAATAAGGAGAAATAATCAGGGGAATCCAAATTGTGAGACATTCTAAAAGGTCTAGAAGGTGCAAATGCCAATGTCAAGCAAGGAAAAACAACAGTGGCGAACAGTTCCAGCTTGAAGGAGACTAAAGGATTACATCAACCAAATATATTGCATGATCTTTGATTACACCTTGAATTATTTCTTAAATAGTTATAGAGACTGGGATCATGAAGATGTTCCAAAATTAGATTATGGTGAGGACTACGCAACTCTGTAAATATACTAAATCCATTGAACTGTATACTTTTTTTTTTTTTTTTTTTTTGACGAAAAAGCCCTGAGCTAACATCTGCCGCCAATCCTCCTCTCTTTTGCTGGGAAGACTGGCCCTGAGCTAACATCGATGCCCATCTTCCTCTACTTTATATGTGGGACGCCAGCCACAGCATGGCTTGCCAAACAGTGCCATGTCTGCACCTGGATCTGAACCGACCAACCCTGGACCATCGAAGCGGAACATGCGAACTTAACCACTGCACCACCGGCCCGGCCCCTGAACTGTATACTTTAAATGAGTGAACTTAATGGTATATAAATTATATCTCAATAAAGTTATTATTTTTTTGTTTTGAGGAAGATTAGCCCTGAGCTAAATGCTGCCAATCCTCCTCTTTTTTCTGAGGAAGGCTGGCCCTGAGCTAACATCCGTGCCCATCTTCCTCTACTTTATATGTGAGATGCCTACCACAGCATGGCTTGCCAAGTGGTGCCATGTCCGCACCCGGGATCCAAACCAGCGAACCGTGGGCGGCTGAAGAGGAACGTGCACACTTAACTCCGGCACCACCGGGCTGGCCCTCAATAAAGCTATTCTTTTAAAAAGCTATAAGGTGGATTTTTGTTTGACAACTAGAGAAATCTGAATATAGAGTATACATTAGATGATTTTATCAATGTTAAATTTCTTTGGAGTACTGGAAGCTTCAGACATTGCTGGTGGGAATGTAAAATGATATAGCCGCTGTGGAAAACTGGCAGTTCTTCAAAATGTTAAACATACAGTTACCATATGACCTAGCAACTGCACTCCTAGATATATACCAAGAGAACTGAAAACATGTCCACATCATTTCCAATATTCTCCTGCTATGCACAACTTTGTTCTTGCCCAAACGGTATTTTGCTGTTCTCCAAATTTGTTCCCCACTCTAACTAGAAACCTTCTCTTCTCTCGGGTCCCATCATTTCAATTCTGTTCTTCAATTCTCCCACCTCTCATCCCCTATAGCCTTCTATTCTCATCTTATGGCTTTTAACTTACAGCAAATAATTTATGTTGCTAATTTGGGTTCTTGTTTTACTCCCTATTTAGCAACTTAGGAACTACACTGTGCTTATCTCTGTATGTCCTATGGTGTTTTCTAACGTCTTCTTTGCTTTTACTTATACATAGGTATCTCTGGCTATCTGAATGCTATCTCAATATTTGCTATAATGACTTGCAAAAATTATTACCCAGAATTCACTCTCTGAACTGAAAATTTACTATAACAAATCTGTGTACCTGCCAGTGAAAAAATTGAAGCTGTATTCAAGTGTAGGCAAAGCATATACAAAATACATAAAAGAATATGGAGCTCCCACTCAAGGGCTTAGTCCTTATATTTGCTTCTGCTAGGAGCCTGGGGCCACCAACAACCAGGTTCCAACTGAGATGCAATTTTTAACATATTATTTCATTTTAAATTTTCATTGCAGAATAGAAGACAATTATATTTTTTATCTAGTGTTGCTGTGTATCATATAAACCCAATACGTTCAGTGAGTGTTACATGATTATATAATTAGTGCTTTAAATATTCTGTTAAATAGGAATTCAAGAGGATTTTTACAATATCTGGGGAAAGTGGTTATGGTTTTGGTTGGGCTAAGAACACACAATTTTCCCATTTAAAATAACGGAATAGAGGCTCCTGCTTTCCAAAAATGCACTATACATGTGCAACAGGAATGGAGTGAATACAAATACCCAAGGAGACCATTACTTAGTTTAAGAATGCAATTCAAACGAAGGAAGGATTATTCTCAATTTGTGATATAATAAAATTGTTTTCATCTAGTTGGGCCTGAGGAAAGTGCGTCTGTATGATTACCTGCCAAGCAGGACCTGGTTTTCCCATATGTTTACCTAACTTAGGCCATAAACTGGCAGGGAATGCTTCAAGTGGGCCCTTGCCCTTGGAAGGCCATGTGAAACTCCTCGTGGTGGCACATATATCAGGCTCCTGCCAATCATGTCTCAACAGGCGTAATCACACTATGTAAAACACATGAGAAGGAGCTGAATGATCTGACTTTTCACTTATCCAAATTGTTCTCCACTCTAAGTGATCTGGGTTTATGCATTCCAGTACAATTGAGAACACAGGCTTTCAAACCTTGATGGCAACCTTAAAGAAAGAAATACCTTACAATCACAACAGAGCAACTACACACACATACGCATTCATATATGTACACTTCTATGTAAACATAGAATTTATATATAACTTGTACATATATAAAATACGTTAAAAGACTTAGTTACTATTTGTGACACTCATCTATTTTATTCTCTAATTTAAACTGATTTCTATTTTACTGTATTTTACTATTTAAAAAATGCTTTTTATAACTCACTAAATTGCTTTCATGATGATGGGAATGTGATCTTCAATATGAAAAACACTGATTTGGAGGATATTTAATAATGAAAATGAAGAAAACAAAATATGGTGTTCTATCCCTTTGAAACTGAAATCCTTTCAATAAGGTTTTGAGTTATTTTATTAGCAACTCTAATACAAAGCTATAGATCAGCATTAAAATTCATTAGGACTAAACAATAGAACTTTTGAGAGTAATCTTTACTGTATGCTCCCTTACTTTTTTCTTTTTCTTTTTTTTTAAAGATTTTATTTTTCCTTTTTCTTCCCAAAGCCCCCTGGTACATAGGTGTATATTTTTAATTGTGGGTCCTTCTAGTTGTGGTATGCGGGATGCCACCTCAGCATGGCCTGATGAGCAGTGCCATGTCCACACCCAGGATCGGAACCAGCGAAGAAACCCTGGGCCGCCAAAGCAGAGCACGGGAACCCAACCACTTGGCCACGGGGCTGGCTCCTCCCTTACTTTTCTATAACCTTGCTTCCTCAATTAATCCTCTCTGCTCAGAGTCCTTACTTTCCTATTGGGACTCTCCCCCTGCTTTCAAACATGCTCTAGTCTCATCTATCCCAGACGGAAGAAAACAATAACATATGTGTACACTGCCTCCCCCTTCACCCAATAAAACCACCTTCTGCAGTGACTCTAACTCCTGAGTGGTTTTACTGATCTCTGTACTGCCCAACTTGGACAATGAGAGGTTTACCTCGTTGAGACTGTTAATACGGCTGGTCTGTGTCCTTAAAGATTAGAATTCAATACCTCTGAAATACTAAGGACACTAATTCAATCATCAAGCTTGTTTCCAATTAATTCTGTACACAGGACCAGCCAAAACAACAACATTAGGAACTGGAGTGTCTTATTACTGAAAAAGATAAGATAATGTAAAAGAATATTATTTCTTGATTTAAAAGTATTATATTTAAGTTGAAAGAAGGAACGAATAAACAACTTTATGTTTTCACTTGTAGTCTAAAACCACCAAAGCCATAAATAAGGAGTAACATTGCTAACTTATAATAAACTCTTCAGTATAATATATAATAACACATACACTATGTATTGCAATATGTTACCTTTTATAAAATTTCAGGTAATTTTTATATTGGGGAAATACAGAAGTAAAGTTATAACATACAGGAGACTGTAACGATTTTCACAGCACATCCCAAGATCCCAATGTAACAAATATGATGATAGCATAAAATTATACACAATAAAAAGCATATTTCACAAAAAGAAAAGAAAAAAGTCATTCAACGAGACCAAAGAGAGGAAGTCACCTTGCTAAGTGACTCATACCTCAGGATACCAGCTTCCTAATGCATGTGAGATAACTAGAGGCTTAGAAATGTAATTTTTTTCTTTTAAAAGATCAGCACCTACGCTAACATCTGTTGCCAATCTTCTTTTGTTTTCCTCCTTCTTTTTCTCCCCAAAGCTTCCCAGTACATAGTTGTATACTGTAACTGTGGTCCTGCTGGTTGTGCTGTGTGGGACGTCGCCTCAGCAGGGCCTGGTGAGCAGTGCCATGCCTGCATCCAGGATCTGAACCAGCAAAGCCCCGGGCTGCTGAAGCAAAGCGCATGAACTTAACCACTCAGCCACGGGGCCAGCCCCAATTAGAGCCTTAGAAATGTAATTTTTTTAATTGAAAAACGTGAATAGTTTACATTCATATGGATTCAAAACTTGAAAAGTATAAAAGGGCATTTTATGTGATTTTTTTGAAAAAGACCTTTTTCTTCTCCCAATAATGGAATTAAGTTTAAACACCCATTTTAATATTTTATAATTTTATTAAAGGCATGTTATCAATTATTACATTATAACTATTGTACAAACACTAAATAACTGTACAAATGTCAGGTATTCATAGTATTCATGTTCTGTATCATACTTATATTTTAGCATCTACTTATATTTACTTTTGCACTTAATTAGTATTGTGTTAAACCATTTTCTAACTCTATGGTTAAACCATTCTCTATGGTTCCTGTCCATAGGTACTGAATTCTTAATAGGACTAAAAGCTCTCTGAGATTGATGATGTCATCACAGACTACTTAAATACCCTTAGGTAATAAATAAATGAATAGTTATGTTAATTCAATACACAAAGGGCCTATATTTAGTTCACATCCACTGAACTTATTAAGATCAAAAAGTCTCATCTTTTTAAGCATGTTAGTGCAGTAAGCTTACCTCTCGCTGTTCTCCTCCATAGTATCTTGCATTTTAGAGGATAGTTCTGTGTATCTGTCACCTGCCTGTTTTTCTTCTTCTAGGCCTATCCTGTTCCCATTATATTTTTCAGTCATTATTTTGGTTGGTGAATGATCAAAAGCAGGACATAAGTCTTCCTTAGAAAGTTCTTTCCACCGTTTCTAGGTAGGGAAGAGAAACGAAAACACTAAAATTTTGGTTTTCCATAAATAAAAAGGATTTATGAATTGAAATTCTATATGCATGTTAAGAAAACCCTGTGATGCTAACAGATGAATGAGAAAGAAAAAGGTGTTTTACCATACCACCTTGTCTAGATATGTCTATTTAAATTCATTTAATATTTATGGACATCTCTTAATAAAATTTAGCGGGCCTTTAACCTATTTGAGACAAACTATACTAAGACCTCACTAAAACATTAGTCACAGTAAGAAGATTTTAGTCAAAGCCAGACTTTGCTGGACTCCTAATCCACAGGGATGTAACACAGGAAACAGTGACCAAGATGTGATCTAGTGTTTCTGTGCTCCTTGCCACTATCTAGTCTAATGAGGAACCAGTAGTGAGATCTCCAAGTAGGTCCGTATGATGACAGAGGACTTTAGTTTGGTTGTCCCTACTAGGTATACTAGCAGTTCCAGGCAGCTTAGCCCACTGGGTTAGAGAAAACTCCTCTCACATGCCTGGACTTCACAGTAGGCAAGATTCAGACCAAGACAAAGAGAAATTCCATTTTCTTCATCTAAGTAACAAGATGTCATCACCTACCTTGGGAGCCTGTTGTGATTAACGAGATGATATGTGAAAGGGCCTAGCATCATGCCTGGCAAATGTTAGTTTCCTTTGCCCTCACTGCCACCATCCCTACGAAGAAAGGTAGAGGAAGAAGAGGTGCAAAGTATACCTAGGGCCCTGGAAGATGCAGGCAGTGACAAAGTATAGGCCAGAGAAGGAGAAGGCAAGTATAACCTCAGCACAGGGGACCACTGGCTCTCCAAGTCCTTAAAGGGCGGGGAACACAACCATCCATCTCCCTGCCAATAACAAGAGCAGTAGAGGAGATGGCAGTGAGAGCTGAGAGTTTTGATTATCTACGACTTTGACACTGATGCAAAATGACTTGGTATAGACAGGAGTGGCTCTCTTAGAAGATCCTATCATGGAAGCATGGAGTCTCAGATCTAATGAATAAGGGATTCTATAACTTATTGTCTGAGGATTTTAATGATTTTGAACAGAGATATAACACGGCAACTTACACTTTTCAGGAACTTAAGGAATGCGCATTCCCTGGAGTTACAATAATGGCATTCTTAAAAACAGTGCTTGTATATTTAGATAAAAAAAATCCCTGGAAAATTCATTGATGCACTGATAAACTAGTTTCTAACTTGTCTCATCATACAACAGAGGAATGAAAAAGAAAAGGCATTTTATCACACTTCACATTTCCCAGATATGGCTGTTTTATTAAGTTGCATAATTAATATATCTCTTTCTGTTTTATAGTAGTTGATTCACAAAAGACTTAGAGAATGTAAAATTCTGTAATTTTTTTATATTTGGAGGACAGTGAGTAGTACAGCTTGGTACAATTTGGCCAGAAGATGAAGAACATATTGAGCTTGACCCTGAGAGATGACGCCAACAAGGAAACAGACCTCAAGAAAAGAAGTCTCTGAACTTAATTTGAGAAACACTGAAGTGGAACTGAACTCTCCTGGGCAAGGATCTAATAAGACTTAAACCATATCCAGAAAGAATATTTTGCAAATACTTGAGAAACTACTATAATGGAACCTAAGATGTTTTCACTTTAGATTACTGCATCAATTTTCTTTCTTCCCCTATTTCAAATTTTTGTTATTGGTCCAAATAGCATTTTTTACATTGAAGAAAATGCAAGTGGGGCAACAAGATATTTAGTAAGCACTTACCATACCCTACACTGTTCTAATGCTTCAAATGTACCAGCCCCTAATCCTCACAAGAACTTTAGGAGGTAGGTACTACTATTATCATTATTATATTCCTTTTACAGATGAGATGGTTTGAGAGTGTTTAAGTAACTTGCCCAAGGGTATACAGCTAATGAACAGTAGGGCCAGAATTTTAATCCAGGTGGTCTGGGTTGACTATGTTGCAACCTCTCCTGATTGTCTAGATTTCTGAAAGGCTGATTAATTTCAGTCACTGCATAGTTTTAAGAGAGTATCCAATAAAATGTTACATTGTCTCCAGAATTTATACTGGTCAATTTTTGAAGTTTCTATTCATCACTGAAACCTAGTTATAGCAACTCCAGTCTTATACTTGGACAAAACTCAATGCCAATAAATGAGACCATGCCAAAAATCAAATCTTACACTTCCCAGAATATGCAACAAATTCAGAATCTGTCAACAAGAAAAGCACTCAGCAAAGGGGGGAAAAAAAGAGAGAGATTTAATGCTAGTGAATTAAAAAAAAAAAAAAGCAATGTCATTTTGTCATGTCTCTGGGCAGCAAACTCACTCAACTTTGCCTTCCCTATGACAGACAAGTAAGCAGGCACTTCAAAATCACCTGCCTTGGCTTGTCACTGCTGACTGGTGAAGCCACGGAATCAATACTGCTCCCAGCTTTAACCTCATTCAAGCTCTCATTTTGAGGCCTGGAATACAGCTAACCAGACCAAGAGTTTTTCATCTAATTCTATACTCATGTTGCACCACACTCTCCTGCGTGACACATGCTATGAGCAACACCCCATGCACTGCCTGCAGCCCCATCCTACCCATTTCTCACTGAAAAAAGCCCCTTGAAGGAGCAGTAAAGTGATGTAATTAAAGTTGAAACCTACTATTATTTGTTAAAACTATACCATTTACTTAATACTTTATTAATAGTGTCAAATTACCAGCTAGAGATCTTACAACATCAATTCTGAATTGCCAAAGTGGATTACTTACTCTGCAAGGTTTACTGTCATCACTGATACTGGGAATGTGCTAATAAATATGTGGTAATACCAGAAACAACACTGCGTATTTATGCCTGACTTTGTGCCAAGAAAGATGTAAGGTAAATGATATCATTGTTAGAGATGACTGGAAATTATATACATTTATCTAGGTAGGTCAAGGTCACTGGAGATTTCTGTAAATGAATAAATGGTATGTGATTAGAATTACATACATATATTTACTGATCTTAGATGCAATCACTTTAGACATAAATATTAACAGCTCTCCTTTGTCCCAAGAGGTTCTAAATCACTTTATATCCACGTATGCCAAAAAAAATCCCAGAAAAACTAACAGGAAACTGTATCCGATAATGAAAATATCACTCACATCATATAAATCTAAGCCAAGACTAAAGGTGAAGACAGATGTCCCCTTTAGGAAAAAGCATCAGAGACGAAGAATTACACGGGTTGGGTGCTACTGAACAGACAGCTCTCTGGAGATAAACAGATTCAGGACGTGCCCTCCCCACCCTCTGCCATCGTGCTCACACTAGAAAGACGCTTCCTTCTTTCCTTTTACAAATAATTTCTTCCTCAAGTTAGAGGCAAAGAGGCGGAGGTAGATGTATGGAGAGAAGAAAGAGCTTTTTGATAAATTGGCTATCACATCCTGGTATGCCAAATGAGATACTTTTATGGGCTACAGTTATATTCATGCAGTTTGGGATTTCCACATTAACAAAGTAACTTTCGATCTTTGTAACAGTAAACTTTTTTTGTTCGGTTTGCTTTGTTTTGGTGAGGAAGATCTGCCCTGAGCAGATCCATTGCCAATCTTCCTTTTTTTTTTTGCTTGAGGAAGATTAATCCTGAGCTAACATTCGTGCCAATCCTACTCTACTTTGTATGTGGGATGCCTCCACAGCATGGCCAACAGTGGAGTAGGTCCGTACCTGGGATCCGATCCCATGAACCTGGGCCACCAAAGCAGAGCATGCAGAACTTTAACCACTAGGCCACAAGATGGCCCCTCAATCTTTGTAACAGTAAACTTTGATGATTTAAGATTTCAAGAAACTACTCTTAGATTTCTGTTCTAAGCTAAAGTTCTGGTACAGTACTGTCCACTTAAATATAACGTGAGCCACATATATAATTTAAAATGTTTAGCAGTCATGTTAAAAAAAAAGGTGAATTTTAACAGTATGTTTTAACTCAATATATGAAAAATACTGTCATTTGAACATATATTCAATATTCTTTAAATTACTAAGATACTTAAAACTTTTTCTCCCTGTATTTAATCTTTAAAATCTGATATGTCTCTTACACTTCAAACAGATCTCAAGTCAGACCAGCCATATTTCAAGTACTCAACAGTACATTTGCTTAATGGCTATAGTAGTGAACAGTGGAGTTCTAGGATGAGAAAAATATCTACGCAAAGTGAATAAACTGTATATATAAATACACATTCCTGGAAGAATACATGCATGCCAAAATGGTTACAAATTTGGGGTGGGTAAGCTAACGAAGACTTCCACTTTGTACATGATATATTTCCACATTTTTTTAGTTCTTTTATTCCTAACATGTACTCATTAATTATTTTTATAATAGAGAAAATTCACAGCACCACATAAATTATTAGAGACTTGCTAGGATCATTTCTGTGGAAACTGACCCCTCTGATTGGGTAACAGGCTTTTCTGATGCTGAGCACCCAGAAGATACAGAGACAATTGCAACATCTTATCTGGAACAGGAGCAGAGAATGCCTTGGCTTTGAATGGGGTGCTAATGATAAATTAAGAGTAAACTGAGAATCTGATGCTTACCATATCACATAAATTGGGACAGAAAGAATTCTTCTAAGCCACAGACTGCACTGTCATAATAATAAAGACCACAAAAAAGTAGGTCCATAAAATTCATCTCTATAGTGAAAAAGATCCTCCAAGTAAGTACATATATATTCTAAAACTAAAGAAACAAAACTTGAAAACATTTAAAGCGGAGGGAGGGATACTACCTAAAGGATACCACATTCCTACAATTACTCAGTCTGTAAGAACCACCAGGAAATAAGCAATAAACGGCAACTAGTGAAGGCACACTATTATGGGGGAAGTTTGATATAACTACTTAACTTTTTTTAAATTCCAGATTTAAGCTGGTAGAAGCTGAGATAAAAAAAAAAGAGAGAGAGCGAGAGAGAGAGATTTTCCTAATCTTAAACATTTCAGATAACTTTTACTTCTCCTAAATCACTGTTCATTGCCAAGCAAACCCAATGCTGGCCCCAGCAAACCCAATGTTCCCAAAATATGATTTATGAAGTAGGGTCTCTTGTTTTGTGAGCTTAATCTTCTACATACTATTTTACTGACTGATGGCATTGAGTAACCTAATGTTTCTCTTCATTAAAAATTATTCTTTAATTCTATGTCAAAATTTGAAAAAAAACTTTTTAATAAAACAAAAATTTTATTGATAGTTTGTCTTGAACAGTTAAAATAGCACTAATGATCAGAACAAAAAAGTTAGCTACTGATAAATAAAATTGCTTAAGAATTTTAATGTCTTTGAAATCTATACAATACTTAACTCTTATACTTAATTCCACCATGACAGATGGTCTGTTCTAAGTTATAAAAGGCTTATTCAGAATTTTCCTGTTTTGGCTAGTAATCACAGAAATAAAAGGGCTAGTAAATGTGTTCATATAAGAGATATATAAAGAAAGAGATTCTATCTACTTATATCCAACACTACGTGATTAGATCAGACAAGAAAAGGGGGTCTGTTGTTATTTCTGTTTCTAGTTTACGTGTTATGTTAGTATATAACTCAGATTTCTGATAATCAGTCTTTGAACTCAGCTTTTGCAGATGTGGAATAAAAATATCTTCATGAGAATAAAGCCACAAACTAGAGAAAATATAACATTCTACTGGAATTTAATTATGTTTGTGATAAGTACTTGAGTCGTTCATTGTTATAAAATGAAATATCTTATATAAACTAAGTGTTCTAAAATCCCAGGTCAAGTTTTTAATGGGGTAAAAGTACCTAAATTTTCTGGTTTATTTTAATGATTAAATGCTTAAACTCTCTTTACATAAAAATTTTACTTTCTTTAATGAAATCTTATTTCCACTAGGGCTTTTGAGAACAGGCTGGATTTAACATGAGGCTGAGCTACATAGGAGGAAGTGAGCTTAAATTTTACAATTTTAAGATGGGCAGCTGGATTTACTACATTAATGTAAATATGCTTTTCGGAAGGAAGGGAGATGATAAATGCTTCAACAGAGTGCTGTTATTTGGTGCTAATCATCTCTCATACAAAGGTACTATTTTTCCCCTAAAAAGGTTTACCTGTATATTTGAATCTCCCTTTATAAATTTTGCTCCTTCTATTATAGTCATATACGAAAATCTGAGTTGATCTGGTGTCTGAATAAGTCCCATTCGATATTTTCTCATATTCAGTAACAGTTGTTTAATGTTAATATCATCACCTTTTTCCATCTGCAAGAAAGGCAAAAATTAGTCAAACCTTTCGTTGTGAGAGTCTGGGAAAGAGAAGCAATACTAGATAACTGTTAAGAGTTTTGGCATGTGCTGTGTTCCTCCTCCTCAAGAACAAGGTAAGTTACCACTGCAGCTCTAACTCTTTATGCACAAAACGGTCATCTCAGTGCATCCATCACCCACACCACACCTCAACTGTTCAAGTAGTAGATGGAGGACTTCTGGTCCTTTAGCTGATCCACAATTGAATGCAAAGCAATCATACTAATCTCACTCACTTCGGCCAGTGTTTGGTCTAGGGAGGGCTTTATGAGCAGTTCTGGCTTACGTAAAGATAAATCCACTGAGAATAGTGCTTTTTTTAAAAAAAAAAAGAAAAGTTTTAGCAGGAGTAAACCTTTCTGCCCAGTGCCCTTCCACCTTTATGTCTGTGAACAGCAGACCTCTAAAGATGGTGGAGAAGAAAGAGTCCAGACCCACAATGACACTGTAGAGCCACTGCACCAGCCCTGGACTACTGATCTGGTATTATAACCACAATGGCCCCACCTCAAGGAAAAAGAAAAAAGTTGTTATATTTAGTAGGGAACAGGTGTAAACACACAATCCAGTTTTAATATACACCATTTGCAAAGTAGACACTAGAGTTTTTAAACATGTCAAAGTTCACTTTAATGTAACAATCCAATCTTTGATTGAAGTATTCTCTATATAGGCAGAGTGGTAAGGTAATGCAGAAGATATGTTAAGACTCAACCATTTCTATAGCCTAGAAGTGCCCTATATCCCAAGGCAGGAAAAACAGACATCCTAAAAAGAGAAAAGGTATAGACCGGTATCCAGTCTGGGGCTTGGAATCGGTTGGTGGAGAAAGAATGCAGCCCTTGATGGTACAGATAGGAATCTCAGGGGAACAACAACAATACCGACATTTATTGAGTGCTTAGAAAATACCAGGGACTCTTCTAAGTGTTCTAAATGTATTTATTCATTTAATTTCCACAACATCCCTGTAAGGAAAATACTATCATTATCCTTAGTTTGTAAATAAGGAAATTAAGACAAGAGAAGTGCTTGTCTGAGGAGGAAGGAATTGAATATTATATATCAATTTACATTTGAAGAATAAGGGGAGGGGAGGGACCTATTATTTCTGTAATATAAAACTACTAGGTAAAAAATGTTTTCTTGGAGATCTCTAGAATTATCTTGGACGAAGCCCCACCGGTCACAAATAAGAGGCAGCTGAAAGGGTGTAAATGAGATTTTTAGGTTTTCCAAAAAAAGAAGTTTAAGTTTGAAAAAAACAGTTCTGGGATACTTACATTAGAAACAATAAAAAAAGAAAACAAGACTATAATTAGATCATAAGGAGCACTTACCAGAATAAGACAGGTGTCTACGAGAGAAAAGGTGCCTGACCGCCCAATGCCTGCACTACAGTGGATCACTGCAGGCCCATGTTCAGGATTCAAGGAACCAGATTCTCTCACTTTAAATAAGAAATTGAGAAATGAAGCTGGTGATTCAGGGACTCCAAAATCTGGCCAGGTAGTATAATGAAAGTGAGATATTGTTCTGGTTTCACCACTCTAAAAAGTGAAAATCAAGGGGGAAAAGTTAGTTCCAATTTTTTCTTTTAAAAAACTACTTCAGAAAGATTATGTGTTTTATGTAATGCTTTTAATCCTTATGGGCCTTTCGTACCATGATTTTTCACTTGGTTTTTGATAATCACTTATATAAGTTTGGGAAGATTTTCTCTAGGAGAATTTGGAATATAATAAGAACTAACACTTCTATAACACATTATTTTGTAGGCATGTTCTAAGCTTTTTATACATTACCTCAATCCATACGACAATCTTATTAAAACCCATTTTCCAGATGAGACAACTGAGGCAGAAAGTTAAATAATTTACCCAAGGTCACACCTTCAGAAAATGACAGAGCCAGGATTTGAAGAGGCAGCCTGGTGCAGCACTGGGGTTCTTAACCACTGACCTCTACCATACATGTTGCCAATATTTTCTTTAATTCATACATCATGATGAGTGGATTCTTTTTCCTATTTTTAAAAATTCCTACCAGTACAATTTTGCATTCTTTAATGGTTTCCTTTTTAAGAATTCCAAAGTTTTTTTAGACATAATCTTTTCTATTATATGAGTTACCTTTTACATTTAGCTATACAGGCACAGAGGAGCAACTCAAGAATTAATTTAAAGAAACAATCTTTACAGTTTTAATTGAAATTGCTTTTCTAATTGCTGCTTTACTCCTTGGTAATAATTTCCAGTCCTAAAACTGTTTATATGCCTTTGCTGATGTACTAAAATGGTTTACCAACATGCTAAATGTTTCCTGTCTCTTAAAGCCTGCCTGGCATTCACTATCACTTGCTGGATATGCCTGATGATCTTCATTTCTGACTAACTCATTATGAAAATGTTCCTTAGCTTTTGCCAATTGCTTTTGCCCCAAGGAGCACTTCTGTACCTTATACTGTTCATTTCTTTAAATGAAGCAGCAATCCTCCAACATGTCTTTGCATAATTTTTCAGTTTTATTATAGAACTTTTTTGGAGAGAGGAGATGTTGGGGCCCAGGGCAGGCGACCCCAAAATATCCCACAATAGCATAGTAATTACTCTGAATTGAAATTACTCGAGAAGCAGCCAATACAAAAAGAGGCATTTTGACACTCTTTTCTTTGTTCCCCCTGAAAGCAGGAAATAAATCCCCCAGCTGAAAGGTGCTCTCCCTGCATCCTTATCATGAGAGCCAGGGAATTCAGGGCTGAGAAGCCTATGTAAACACAACTTGCTAATTTACTACTTCAAGTTTGAATTCCTCACTAATTACATACCCCAAACCTAAGTTTCTTTGCCCTGTCATTCCTCACTAGGTTTTTATCCTGTTAATCTGGTCTTGTGTCAATTTTATTATTAGTCCAACCAGAAGAACCCAAGAAGGATAGACGGAGGCAATTTCCCCCTCCCTAACAGAGACATAGAAGCAACATAAAAGAACCACGATATTTTTAATGGCTACCAGCTAGGGACTATTATTATAGCATCCTGCTTTCAATACAAATTTTCAAAAATAAAGTTAGCTTTCATTCTTTAAATATAAATTTTCCCTTTTTTCAGTAGAAATTAAGACTCGTAAGCCCTAGACTTGATTACATGAGGCATTAACACTGATAAAACACACTGCAGAATTAAAAAAAAATTTTTTTAATTATAGTGGCTAATTTTTCTTATCATTCAGCTTTTATAATTCCAAATTCCAAATACACTGGGATCCACAGGTGCTTGATATACTGAAGGTACTAGAATTAAAATGATCATTGTGATTACTAGATTTCAAAACATTCCTTTTTAAATTCCAAATAAGTATGCTAAGTGAAAGAAGCCAGACTCTGAAGGCTACATACCATATGATTTCATTTATATGACAGTCTGGAAAAGGCGAAATTATAGGAATAGAAACCAGCTCAGTGGTTGCCAGGAGCTAGGAGTGGAGGGTAGGGCTGACCGTACACAGGCAGCAGGAGAAAATTTTGGGGGATGATAGAACTTGTTCTTTATCTTGATGGGAGGGGGTTACACAACTGAATGCATTGTCAAAACTCACAGACTGTACACCAAAAAAACTCAATCTTACTGTATGTAAAAAAGGGAGTTAAATTTGCTGTATTAAAAAAAGTATTTAAAACATTCCAAATTAAGAAGGCTAAATTGTAGTTTCCTTTTACAAAGCCATTAATGCACAGGTAACAACGCAATACCAACATAGGAATGGGCTAAAGAGGCTGGTCTCTGATTAGCCCAGGGGTATACTTAAAGTCCTATTTTCTTTTAATGAGGTCTAAGTTTCCAGGAGGTGTTTTTAACTCCTTTTTTTCCCTGACAAATCACCCTGCTGTGCTCATCAGCCTCCATGTAGTGCTGACCATGCAGAGCAGGGCCAGACTTGGCCCATGGGAGCCTAAACCAAGTCCTGCTGGAGCTCCCGGGTCTGGGAGGTGTGGTGCCAGGACCCTGCTCCAGTGCAAGCTGTGCTCTCTAGGGTGTGGCCCAGTGTTCCTATATGGTTGTGTGCTCAATTATTGCATCACTTCTTGGCTCAAAACCTATGGTTACCCCCAAATTCTGAGCAACTGCTTGCTTTTTCTTTGCTTCTATAATTTTGGCTCAAGACTAGTGGTCTCTTGATTTTTTTCAAATTCAGGTCATGCTGTCTGGGATACTCAAAGCCAGTTCCCAGAAATGCTCACGACTGTTTGTATAATACAGTCTTCCCTACTAATAGATTTTTAAAATCAGTCTTTTTCTTTCCCTACAGGACCAGACTAAAGAACTTCTTGAGAGGATAATTTTTATTAATTTACCCCTACTGAAAGAAGATTCAAAAACAGCAGCTCACAAAAATCATCTAATTCCCAAAGGACCACGTTAGGTAATAAGATGTCTATGTTTACTACTATGGTACAAACGAAATGTGTATATGTATGACTGGACTCCTTTTCCCGGTTTTTCATGCTGGAAAAAAATGAGAGGGGAAAAAAGGGTTGCCAAAGGAGAGAAAGCTAATACAAAATTCATCTTTATTCCAAACAAGCCCTACATTTAGACGCTACAATTTTTGACAAACTCCTTCTTTCAGAACTGTGGAAGCACCCTTTCCTTCTCCTACGTCACCGAGTCACATTAGTTTCCCTTCTGTGAGGTCCAGTTGGGCCCTTCCATCTCTTTCCCTCTGCTGCACCTTACACCCCATGCATACCGGGTTGCATCCACAATAGCGTGGCTGTCTCCATCTCCAGCCATCCCGCACACGCCTGCCAAGTGTTCTTTGTAAAATACTGCATTATGAATACCACACTCTGCATGAAAATGTCAGTGGTTCATCATTCTTTTTAAGGCAAAATCTCATGTACATTTTTTGAAGGAGAATTCAAATTTAAAGTCTTTGAATAGGGATATCTAGCTCATTATATATGGATTCATATTCATATAATCTATGAATGGAGCAGGTGGTATAAGACAATGGGGAGCTTTAGGCTTATGGCAATTTAAGTGTATGCTGTCTAAAGCTATTCAAATTCAAGTTAACTATTATTATCATCAATATATTTAAGATGATTACCAATTTTATAATCATAAAAAATCTACACAGCTCTATGGTGCCAGGCCCAGTTATTGTCACACTTTAGGCACATATAGAAGGTACCAAGATTATGCTTCCAAAAGACTTTCATAAGCCCTAGTTTTGTCGTCCTTAAATGGGGTTAAAAATAGTACTTACCTTATAAGCCTATCATTCTAAAGCGCCTAATATATGCCTGCACATGGTAAATGCTTAACACATTATACTCACTAATTGCCTTTATTTTAGCCCCTAATAAGCTCCAATAATTGTAAACCTCTCCATATTTTCAGTCTCTTCACTTAATATTTCCTCTATACCTGGACAGCAGCAAAGTTTGTCAACCCTGTCTCCTAAATACAGATTTAATCTATAAAATCTGTACCCTCACTGACACTGCCTTAGTTCAGTCCCTCATCAATTTTTGCCAGGATCATTATATTGTCTGTGTTAAACACTTAGTTACTGCAATTCATTTTGAAAGGTAAGTAGAACTCACCAGGTCAGGAGGAGAGGAGACTGACAGGAATAGTTAGGCATTGGGCTTGCTTCTAAGCAGAGAGAAAAGCAATACAGAGGCAGGACACCCAAGGAACAACCTATTTGAGGAGTAAGTCTTTTAGCAAGAACAAATCCTGAGTGCCTGAAGGAGAAGAAGGTAGACAAGGAGGCAAGGACCAAGCTGGGTTGGTCTTGGACTTCTGTGCTGGCTCTGCAAGGATTTTTTAGAGCATGGTAGAAGGATCACTCTTGTGTTTGAGATCAACCACTCGGGTATAGTGTGGTTGACAATGTACTCGGTGCAACTGCAGAAGGGAGGACAATGGCAAGGGCAAGGACCCTGTCCACACATTTTCGTATATTGAATTTTTCATTGCTGAGTTTCAAACCCAGAAAGTATAGAAGTTATTCCTTAAATAGGGAAAATGTTGATATAATTCTGGCAAATCTCACCCTGTATCGTGTCGTTGCTGGTTTTCTATAATCCAACCACAGGACCTTTATTCAGTTGCTAGAGCTCAGGGAGCTCCATCAGGTGATTTGCCCAAGATATTCCCTCTTCCTGAAATAGTTTCCGGAACTCTACCCCACTTCTATCCTCTCTCTTTTATTTAATTAATGCCTACAGGTCCCAGATCAATCATTTTCTTAGAGGTGGTTTTCCTGACCTCCTTCACTAAAGGTACTTCCTCTAATAAATACTGTTATCTCACTATATGCCTCTTCTCTTGGAAATGTCCTGAATTTTTAAATAATTCTTGGGTGCTTCCTTAATAATATATACCCAGCCCGCTAGAACAACTCCAGGGGGAGTTGAAAACCTTGTTATGGAGTCAAAACACAGACATACACAAGTATTGAACAAGCCAATAAAAGGCTAAAATTTAAATTATGGAGAGAAGTGCAGGAAGTTCACAGCTGTTAGGAATGAATGCATCACAGACATATTAAGACCTAAGTAAGAAATGGGGCACAAGGTAGCGCTAAAGGATGTGTGGGATATAAATAGGCAGAAAAGAGAGGAGGACATTCTAGGTGGGATAAACTGATTAAACTATTTTGAATCAAATCCCAGTTGAGCATCATAATAATTAGGCACTCATTCTGTTTTGGGCACATCTACAAGGACAGAGAAATAGAAGGCAGTCAGCATTACAACAGTATTCCTGAAATGTAATAAACATAAAGCTGGCCAATAATATTATGGAAAATAGTTAAGGGCAACAGAAAAAGAAAAACCTTAAAGACAAATAAGTACTCTAGATGGCCTTAGATTTAAAAAAGCCCCTAAAACCAGCTCCATAGCTTAAGCTGCGGGGCCACCTTAAAAGCAGAGATGGACTCTCACCATTCAGAGGCAAAAGTTCAAATTCTTAGCTCTAATCAAGACACTGGAAAGGGCTGCAGGTTTGTAGCTTTACTGTTCCATTAGACTGGAAGTCTCTAAAAGAGCAAGGCCTGCACAGATCTGTTAATAGCTCCAAGCCAGGCTCCTTTAGAAGCAAACTGGTTCTCTGCACCTCAGGAATCTCAACAAAGGTCTGCAGGTGAGGTTGGCTATCACTCCCCTACTTCATCATCACCTTCCCTCGACCCCTTGTTATTTCCTTCTCCCTCAACTTGTTCTTTTCAACTGCTCTCGCTCCTGCAGTCCCTCCCAATTCATTAATATTACAAAGAAACAGATACACAGAACTAAAGCTAATAATTATGGATCTTGCACTGAGTCTAGGTATGTTATAGCAGTAAATCACTTGATCCTGAGGTAGATAAGATTAGCATCTTTTTCAAAAGACAGCCTCATGTCATTAGAAGTTAGGAGATCAGGATTTGAGTTCTGAGTCACTTATTACCCAAGTAACCTATTTGTGGAAAAAATCCTATCCTTAATGGATTTTAGGATTATTTTTTAAAAATATGAAATACGAGATTATTAGGAATATTTATCTAAATTACAAGAAGACCGTGGGCCAAAAGATATTTATGTGAAAGTGTTTTGCAAACTGATAAACAAAACACAAAAGTCATTCTATTTTATTACTATTTGAGGTATAATCAATTCTCAATTAGGATAGATTTCAGAAACAAGGAAAAACATCTACGCTCTTCTCCATCTAAATCAATTTTAATGCCATAAGCAGATGAGGTACCTGGGATAAATACCAAGAGAAGATGATTCAGAGAACCATGAGAAGTTTATGGAAATGCAGTTCTGTTTCTGGGAATGAGCACGGTACGATCCAGTACCAAATAGTTATGGATGTATCTCAATGCAGTTTGAGACATAAGTAAATGGATAGTTGGTGCAAAATAAATCCAGTAAGGGAAATTTATAAGTAAGTCTAAGGCTTGTAATTCTCAACCTGACCCTTGTTAGATGACCCAAGCGATTAGATAATAAGCTTAGTTAGGGATGTCATGGGAAACTGGACCTGGGCCTTGAGCACACAGTACGCACCTGTGCTTACAGTATGCAATAAAAGTCAGAGATCAACCATAAAACATATTTCTATGTATCTAAAAAGTACTTATATTTATACCCTTTCTCTTCTCTGCAAAGCTTTTTTTTGGTTGTTAATGATCCTATGCTAATCACTTAATTCACTTAAGAGTTAACTAAAACAGCATCTCACTTTATAGACTAGATATATTCCTGAAGTCATTTTTGGGCAAACAAATATTTTCCTATTTTCTGGTTTTCGTAGTTTCTAAAGCACCTCAGAATCACTTTCATTTCATATTTTCTACTTATTCTAATTACAACACAATGAAGGTAAAAGGGGTAAGTGGGAAAAGGGGGAGAAATGTCTTGCTTCCCAGCCAGACAACAGCAGGCTCACAATCTACTATATACACGGATCTGGACCAAACACCAAGGAACAATTCTTATATTTCTGGAAAAAAAAATCCAAGGAAATGTTCTTGAGACCAAATGCTAAACTTATTTCACCATTTTACCCAACTCAATAAGGACAAATTTCTGTGTGGTGAATTACTTGAATTAACACTATTCCGCTAAGTTATTTTCTCAAATACCTTGCTACTCTCAACAGTAGTAAATACCAGGAACGGTTGTTTATTGGACACCTACACTGCATCAGGTGCTTTGCATGCACATCTTCATCTGATCTCCAAAACAGCCCTGAAAGGGAGATATTATAATCTCCATTTTACAGATAAGGAAAGGCTTAGGGAGGTTGAGAACAGGTCCCAAGGAGACTTCTACTAAGTAGCAGAGCTGGGATTTGAATCCAGGTCGGCCTGATTCTAAAATCCTCTCTCTTAATGCCCAAAATAATTTTAATAAATTAATTTCAATCCTCAACTATCAACCTGAACTTTAAAATTCTTACTTTCTAGGGTTTCTTCAGAGTCCTTAGAGAGCTACCATATATAGGAACACAATCTAAAAACAAATGGTTAGGACTATATATTATTATAGATATTATCAAAATGTATGTGCTGCCCCAAACTTCAAATCTAATAACAAACAATAATTGTTAAAATCATCATACAAAGTCCAATCTTTTGGTCATGAAAAGTCTTACATTGATATTTTCTAACTGCAGTAGATGTACTGTATAATATGACTTCACATCTTCTGACAAGAACTTCACACTGAATCCTGTTTCTTTATACAGCATCTCTCGGTCGTCTTTTGTTGGCCAGTACTGTGCACATTTAACCTAAATTTAAGAATATGTATATGATTTTTTTTAGTTTATAGACATTATGAAACTATAAAAAGTTGGAAAAGGAAAACAAACCAGATACATACAAGCCATATTTTTTCAAGTACCCAAATCTAGGAATAGTCACACTATATTTGATGTTTAATACATTTTGATAAGATTGACATTCTATAAAATCAGGTTTGTAAAATGTTCCCATAACTTATACACTAAAAAAGCTATAAACAGACACCATGTACATAAAATAAAAATGAATGTCATTTCTAAAGCATGACAACCTATATTTTAACACCATACTGGCATTCACTTCATGTTTCTAAAAGTATCAAACTCTTGCAAGAATCTTATCTTCAAACAGTATTAAAAAGGCTTTTACAAGTATTTTCCACAAATACCTATGAATCTGCTACTAAATACTACATATCTAGAAATAATACTGCACATTTACTTACTAAAATTAAATCAAGGGAGAGAATCAGAAGATAAGCCACCTTTACTTAGAGTTGTGATATTTTGGCAGAACTGCTGATATGGAATTCACATTTGTGACAATAAAAGCATCTTCCCCAAAGCCAAATTTTGAAGCCAGCAGGCTGAGGCAAGGTGAGATAAAGAGTCTTTCATTAGGAAAAAACACCAGAGAAACTTCCTTGTAAAATATGGCCATTTCTCCTTTTCTAAATCACAAATAGCTACAAATAACAAAGAAAAATGCCTCCAAAACAAATGAATACTATGAGCTAATACCTCAAAAGGTGCTAAAAAACACTTACAAAATGATACAAGAAGTGAAAGAGCATAAATGAGAAATTAGAACAACTCAGAAATGAGGTGACAGAAGCAGAAAAGAATTAGAAATAATAGAACACATTTCAGAAATGAAAATTAATAAAACTAAAAGGAACAGAGGCATGAATAAATACAAGAGATAATGCCTTAAGACAAAAAGAAGAGGAAAAGGAGGAAATTTTTTTTTAAATAAAAAAATAAAAAAAGAAAAGAAAAGAAGGGCATCAGCCCAGTGGCATAGTGGTTAAGTTTGCCTCTGCTTTGGTGGCCCAGGGTTCGCTGGTTTGGATCCCGGGCGTGGACCTACACACCGCTCATCAATCCATGTTGTGGTGGCATCCTACATAGAAGAACTAGAAGGACTTGCAACTAGGATATACAACTACGTACTGGTGCTTTGGGGAGAAAAAAAAAAGAGAGGAAGACTGGCAACAGATGTTAGCTCAGGGCCAATCTTCCTCCCCCTCCCCAAGAGCATAAAAAAAAAAAGGCTAAAAAAAATGGAGAGAGAGACAAATAGGATTTAAACAGAATGTGACAAATATAAAAATAGGCAAAGAAAATCGAACATGCATAATAGGAGGACCCAAAGAACACACCAAAGGAAGCAAGGGAAGAGAATAAATACTAACAAGTAGAATTCAATAAATTTTCTTTAAAAAAAGGAAAAATATTTGAAATCACATGTTGAAATAGCACACTGTGCAGCTGGAAAAAGTGACCCAGAATGACCAATGCTAGGACATATTTTGGTAAAATTAATGAGATTTGAGGGAAAAAAATCCTTTGGGTAACCTAGGTAAAAAGAACAAGTGACCTACAAAGGAAATAAAACATCTATTTGACCTTGACAGTAATTTGTAATGCCAGAAGGAAATGGAGTAATATGTTTAACTTGCTCAAAAAAAAGCAAATACGAGTCAAGGATCCTGTATCCTGCCAGACTGACTTTTAAGCATTAAGATAGCAGATGAACTGTCAGCGAGATGTAAGAAATCATGTCCATGAGCGCTAACTCAGGATCCACTAGAGAACGAGCTATAGACAGAACTGGAGAGATATCAACAAAGACTGATGATGAATATTAAATACATATTTATATGTAGAACTAAGATTTTAAAAGGGATATAAGAGAGAGACTAGGGGCCAGCCCGTGGCCGAGTGGTTGAGTTTGCGTGCTCTGCTGCGGCGGCCCAGTGTTTCATCAGTTTGAGTCCCAGGCGTGGACATGGCACTGCTCATCGGGCCATGCTGGGGCAGCATACCACATGCCACAACTGGAAGGACCCACAACTAAGGATATACAACTATGTACTGAGGGGCTTTGGGGAGAAAAAGGAGAAAATAAAATCTTTAAAAAAAAAAGAGAGAGAGACTATAGGGTGCTATATACTCTGACAATGTAAGTAAAGTACAACTAAAACAACAGAGAATGGAAAAACCAAAAATTTAAAATTTTTTTTCAGTAATTATTTTGGTGATGGAGTTGGTATTATTATTATGAGTATTTTTTGTGTGTAATATGGGACAAAGTAAATGTGTCACTGTAAGATCTTCTACATCCCTAGTGTCTTTGAGAACCAGGATTCAGGAATCTAGAAAAAGGAGGTAACAGATACAAGGTAGAAAGGGTTAAGCCAACCCCTATTATCCTAAATTTGAATTGCAAATATCACTATGAACTCTTGAGGTATGTTATCTTTTTTTTTTTTGAGGAAGATTAGCCCTGAGCTAACTGCTGCGAATCCTCCTCTTTTTGCTGAGGAAGACTGGCCCTGAGCTAACATCCGTGCCCATCTTCCTCTACTTTACATGTGGGACATCCACCACAGCATGGCTTGCCAAGCAGTGCCATGTCCGCACCCAGGATCTGAACTGGCAAACCCCGGGCTGCCAAAGAACATGAGCACTTAACCGCCGTGCCATCGGGCCAGGCCCTAGGTATGCTATCTTAACACACAAGTATCTTTCCTTAGCTCTGTTCACTGGAAAGCTCTAAAAACAATGACCAACTCAGTAACAATAAATATCCCTATTTTTTTGTGATCTTGAAATATCAGTGCCTATTAAAAGAAACTAAGGCTCCTTAAAGAAACAGCTGGTTCTTGGGCCTGGCCCTGTGGTGTAGTGGTTAAATCTGGAGTGCTCCACTTCAGCAGTCTGGGCTCGTGGGGTTCGGATCCTGGGTGCGGACCTACACCACTTGTCAAGCCATGTTGCAGTGGTGACCCACACACAAAATGGACGAAGACTGGCACAGATGTTAGCTCAGAGCAAATCTTCCTCACCAAAAGCAAAACAAAACAAAAAAAGAAATGGCTGATTGTATAAAGAAGAGTTTAAGATGAGCCTGCATTATGCAGTCATTCCAGATAGCAAGAAAGCTATTAAAGACTCTTAGGTTTGTGTTGAAAGGATACAGGGCCCAATTTGAAGAGATTCCAGCTGGCCCATGAAGGGACAATTTGAGTACTAAGAAGGATAATAACTGCAATCAAGTGAAATTAATCAAGTATGTTTAGATCCGTGAGTTCACAATAATTCATCTGCTCCTGCCACGGCCCTCACAGCAAAAGAACCTAATTGGTCACCTGTTGAGGACACTAGAGAATCAACTCTATTTTGAAAACCACTTTTCCTACACAAAAGTGGTCAACTAACTAGAATAGGACGTTTCTTTGTTTTTTTAATAGAACTATTCCAACAAAAACTCAAGAAGGAAGGATAAAATTGGAATATCACTATTTTGTAGCCCCTAATTAATTAACGAACTAAGCACTGACCAATAATGGCTGCTAACATCACAAAAAGAAAGATAATCAGACGTTACGGTCAACTTAATAAACAACACACGGCCACCCATGAAGTAATCTTCCCCCAAATAATTAAATTGAATCTTATTAAGCTTCTGCATCCAACCACTATAAATATGATTTCTAATTTCCAGTGGCAATCTTAATCTTATTAATATAGCAATTATATTCCAAAATGAGGGATAAAACATAAGTCCTCTAGTTTGCAATGCTGCTCAAACTGTTCAAACTGACAATGTCATCATCACTTAATTTTTAAATTACATTGGAAACCATGAAAAACCACTCTAAATGACTATGCTGACACTGCTGGACATTCTGATGTGTCAATTTCACTTCAGATTAGAAATACATCAGAAAAATTTTCACCACCATTGAAAACCAGCAAAAGTAAATTTATTTATTATTTTTTGTGAGGAAGATTGGCCCTGAACTAACGTCTGTTGCCAATCTTCCTCTTTTTTATTTTTGAGGAAGACTAGCCCTGCGCTAACTACTGCCAATCCTCCTCTTTTTGCTGAGGAAGGCTGGCCCTGAGCTAACATTGGTGCCCATCTTCCTCTACTTTATATGTGGGATGCCTACCACAGCATGGCTTGCCAAGTGGTGCCATGTCCACACCCAGGATCTGAACAGGCAAACCTGGGGCTGCCGAAGTGGAATGTGCGCACTTAACTGCTGCGCCACTGGGCCGGCCCCTCCAATCCTCTTTTTGCTTGAGGAAGATTGTCACTGAGATAACATCCATGCCAATCTCCCTCTCTATTATGTGGGATTGCTGCCACAGTGTGGCTTGATGAATGGTGCTAGGTCTGTGCCTGTGATCCGAACCTATGAACCCCGGGCTGCCAGAGTGGAGTGTGCGAACTTAACCACTATGCAACCAGGCCGGTCCCATGATGAACTTAGAAAAAAGTAAGCACCAGGAATCTGAAGGACAGTGCAAGATCTTAAGGCTGGAAAAGACCTTATTGACAATAATTTCCATTTGCTTATTTGACAGAAAAGGAATCTAAAGCTACAGAAGTTAAGACTTAATCAAAGTTACACTACTAATTAGCACTGTTTAGATTGTATTTCAAATTTCAATAAATCTATATTCTCATAATTACTGTCTCATGACCTAAGAGCCAATAATAAAGATTTTAAAAACCCTGTCACTTTAATTGTTTACAAAATTTCCAAGACTTTGATAATAGCAAATTGTAAAGATTCTAATAAAGCTTAGGGATTCCAAAGATCTATGTATCACTACTAGTCAGTATTTGTTCCATTATATTTATATCATGGTGGCAGTGGTCCACAATTGTTATTTAAATATTTAAGGTAAGAAAGGAAAAGGATACCATTAGTTCTTCTGATCTGAAATACCCTGAACTCTATTTGGCAATTAAAGGCCAAACTAATGAATGACTATCCCAAAAGAAATATGAACACATTTATAAGCTAATGATCATAGAAAATACATTAATCTGTAAAAATGAAGTATTACTCACCGATTCTTTCTCCACAACTCGGTTTAGCATGACAACTGCTTTGGTCTTTTGCTGCCAAATCATGAGCCAGAAATGACAACATGTATTAGGAAGTGGACCCTGCGAGAATAGAGAAGAAAAGGTAGATAAGAGAAAGGGGACAGAGGAAGGCTCAAGGAAAACTCCTTCAAGTATGCTTCTGGTTTGAGAACAATGTATTGGATCATAAACAGCAAATAAGACTTTAAATCCACTTGAATTAAAAAATAGGTCTGTACTAGTTGGGATTATTGGCTATAAATGATCAAAATCGACTTTTATTTACTTAGGCAGAAGAGGAATTCTTCAGGCTCTCAGGTGGCTTTCAGAGATGAAGACTGGAGAACCAGGCTTAGGTAGGAACCAATGTAAGGCAAGATTCTGCCCAAAGGAGAGTGATCTTGGGACAGAGTTCCTGATACTATCACTACTATCGACTTGCTCGGCTGGCACTGCCATACTAAGGTGGCAGTAGTACTCATCCATAGCCTATAAGCAAACTGGAATCAAAGCCCTGGGTGGGAATATCTGACTGGTCATGTTCTAGCTGCAAAGGAGGCAGGCAAAGGAAATTTCTGTGCCTTCAGCTTCCAGTGGAAAGAGAGGCCCTGCCTCCCACAGATCATGGCAGTCCTGCAAAAGAGGAATTTTGTGCCATCACTAGCCAGCCAACCAACCCAAGTTAACTACAAAAAGATTTCCAGAAAGGGGTGATAAGGCACATGGATGTGGTGATGGATGGTAATTAGTAATTGGGTGGTAAACATGATGTAACTACACAGGAATCCAGATATAATGATGTACATCTGAAAATTAAAAAAAAAGAAAGGTACAGTCCAACAAGAGGCTTAAATATAATCATAGGGTATTAATGTGGCATTTTATTGTGTGGGGATTTACGATGTTTTATAAAATATATATATGTAAAGATATAAAGGTTGAAAATATGGTTCCAGAGAGTTGAAGTTACAATGTAGATAGAAGGGAAAACCCTCCTCCCTGCTAAATCGGAATCTTCAGAAACACCTATATCTTTAAGGACTAAGACAAGAAAGAAGAACCAAGAAATGAGACTGAAAAAAAGAAATAGAAAGAAGGGAGTAATAAGGGATTTAGTGTAATTGTTCTTTTCTATTTTTTAACATTATAGTTTTTTCAAATAGTAAATTTTTTTTTTTTTTTTGAGGAAGATCTGCCCTGAGCTAACATCTGCTGCCAACCCTCCTCTTTTTTCTGAGGAAGACTGGCCCTGAGCTAACATCCGTGCCCATCTTCCTCTACTTTATATGTAGGATGCCTGCCACAGCATGGTTTGACAAGTGGTGCACAGGGCCACACCTGGGATCTGAACTCTTGAAACACAGGCTGGCGAAGTGGAACATGCGAACTTAACCACTGTGCCACTGGGCTGGCCCCAGAAATTTTAACTCTAAAAATGAGTTTATTAAAAACACTAGGAATGCTCATAAGAAAAACTTTGAATATGACAGAAAGGCATAAAATGGAAAATTAAAGTCTCTATTTATTCCTAATTCCCAGAAATAACCAGTACTAATGGTATAAATGCATAATTTATTTAGCTAATCCCTTACAGATTATTTCATAATTTATTTAGCTAGTCCCCTATTATTTCTGGTCCTATGCTATTAAAATTAAGTTGCAATAAACACCCTCACATATATCTTTATGTCTGTACATATCTGATCACTGAGTACATTAAACTTTCAAATGTTGTGACAGCTGAAAAGTGCTAACTGATCACTGGTTTAAATTTACATTCCCTAAATAGTAGAAGAATTGAGTATTTTTTCATATATATATTATCTAACTTTAATTTTTTCTTTGAATTGTGAACTTATGTTCTCTAGTATACATATTGTTTCTGTTTTTCTTTTTGATTTACAGGAGCTGTTTTATTTCAAGTAAAATAAAGTAATTGATTTTCATTTCCTGTGAACTAGAAATAGTCTGACAGCTCACAGTTACATTCAACTGAATCTTTTACCACATTAAACTTTTTTCTCTTTCAGTAACAGGTTATTCTGATCCAATTTGGGTTTTTAAAAATCTCAAATATTTTGAATATATAAAAATCATTAACTAGCAGAAATGTTAATTAAGTCTTTGTTATTTGATAAATAAAGGGTAGCTGGTGTGGATAAACCAAAATCAGTTCTACTATCTCAGAATGGAAGAAAAGTAGTGCTGAAACATGGGTGTGGCCAATGTGCCAAGAAGCCATCGGGGAGAACGCCGCAGGGAACCATCCGGCTCTCTGGCCTCCTAGCCAGTCCTCTGGGCAGCAGTTCTCAGCACCCTCATCTGCACTGAAGAAAGGCTGGACCCATCAAGGCATATCTGTACTCTGAAAATATATGCCAGAGAGCTGGGTGGAGCAGAGCTTTCAGAAGTCCTCTGGTGATGACACAGGTTATGTGAAGAGAAACGGAAGAAGTTAAAGTATTAACAAAGGTTCTGTATCAAATATAAAGCAAGGAAGATAATTTAACTGAAAAGAACTGGCCTAAGCGATTTCACTAAAAATTTCTCCTTCACGGAATATATAACTTTAAAAATAACTTTACTTTTATTTTAAATACGCAAAGCTGCAAAACATTATAATGTCTACAATTCATTCCATAACAACAGAAAACACTGGAATAACATTTCATTTCCAAAAGAAGTCAAGACATACTTTTAGCTATGTTTTAAAGCAGACCAATCACAAAAATTACATTGTCAGGCATCTGCTCGACATCACACAACTTGCCTGTGTTAAGATGTAACTCCTTTGTGCCTCTTCTATGTCAACTAAGCTGGCGTTAATATAATCATTTTCAGCATTTTGCAGTTTAACACGACTGTGATCATCTGAAACAGAGAATGATAAACCATAATTGTCATTTCAAACTTGTCATTACTTTTTAATTTTAATATCAGTGCTCTAGGTATTTATAAAATGACAGGAGAAACCAAGAAAAAAATAAATTAGCACCACAGAAGAGTTGAGTCAAATCCCAAATTATTCATCTTTTTAAAGGAAGAACAAAAATGTAATCCTTTTGTTTATTACTATGGTGTAGGAAGGGAAGTGCTTCTGTTTGTAGATTAGCTACTGTAACTAGAAAAATCAATCAAAGAGTAAAACGAATAAAGCACCTACCGTCCTAAAAGTAAAAGGATCATTCAGATTCTTGATGCCTAAGAACTGACTGTTCTACCTAAAAAAAAAACTGGCCTCAAATAGATGAGAGCAGATTTCCACAGTAACTACATTTCATTTTCTTCATTCCTCAATAGATCTGTACTCAACTATATTTAAATAATTTTTAACATTTAACTATATTTAGATTAAGTGCTAAAAATATTTAAACACAGTTGGAATATTCCAATTCTTTAAAAGACACCTAAAGATGCTTTATTATTTAGATTGTTTATAATAGTTTAGATATATTTCTAGTTTTTAAAAGTAAAAATTTCATTGATTTACAATTTATGCTAATTTAAATATGTGGCATATAAAATTTTACCTTTTATCATTTTGATGGGAAAGGAAGAGAAGCATGAGACAGGAATAGAAAGCATGTGCACAACAAGAGAATTAACATTAACTTAGAATTCTAAATATACAACTGTCAGAATACAGTCATGCACCGCACGAGGACACTTTAGTCAACAATGGACTGCATATATGATTGTGGTCCCATAAGATGAGTTTTGTATGGCCTAGGCGTACATAGGCTATACCATTTAGGTTTGTGTCAGTACACTCTACGATGTTCACACAATGATGAAATCACCTAAAGATGCATTTCTCAGAACTTATCCCCGTCGTTAAGCAACGCATGACTGTAACTGAATTATAAACTGAACACGTTTGATGTTTAACTCTAGAGAATACATTCTATTATAGGGTGCTCCCCTTAAGGAAATCTATACTAAATATCCGTTCTCTCCCTGACTTTTAAAGTAAAAACACTGTCTACATTATCTGCATATGAAAGAAAATGTTAAATGGCTTTAGTTTCACTCATCAATTTATCTGAGATGTTTCTGCTGGACTGAACCCAAGACCTCTGTAAATATTACATGTCATCTGTCAACAGGAAAAACTAAGATCTTGTTATAGTAAATCACTTATACTAGTGTTCTCGGAAAGATGATGTCAGCAAGCACTTTTTTTAAAACGCTTTTTTTTTAACAGTTTAATCATCCTTTAACTGGGATATTATGTGAGATAGTAAAAAGGTCAGCCACCTAAAGACCATATATCTCCTAGATAACATCTATCAAGAGAATGCATGCTTTTAGAATGCCACACAATCCCTAAAATTCAAGCTCCAAAATACAAAATATAATACCAAAGGAATGTATTTCCTCATCCTGTAATCACAGCAAGAACACAAACCCCAAAGGTTAATCGTGTCTATTGCGTAACTGAAAAAAGCAATTTGGCCAACAAAGGCAAGAATCCATAAAAACTGGGAAGTTCCCTCTCCAGGGTGCTGGGAATTCAGTTGTCCTGCATGTCACTACCCCAGACCCTTCCATAGCTGAGGAAATAAGCCTAGAGAAAGACCTTCAGCAGTTTATTTTTAAGAGTATTTGACACTATGACCTCAGTGAACCAGAATTCACTGTTATTTTCCCACTAGCTTTAAAATTTAGATGAAGTGTCACTCCGATTCATTAAAAGCACTGACTCTCACACCTGTAAAGGCATGATCCATTCCTTGGAGCCCCTGCATCTGACCAATGGAGAGCAGGGTGCCACGTGAAAGGCACCTGGGGTCATGCAGAGCCTGGCCCCCAAGCCATGGCCCTGCTTCTCTCTAACATTTATTTATATAGAGTCAGCAAAAGCAGAGAAACACTGTATTTTCTCAGAAAAAAAAGTTAAAAAAAAAAATTTTCCTAGCAGATAAGACAAAAAAAGGAAGGTAATCCTTGGGAAAACTCTACAGCTACTTGTAAGTGGCTACAAATGTTGGCTGAACCTATATTTTCTCCTCAACTGACTAAAAACAAAACTCTCAAATACACCTACCTCATTAGATATTTATTTTAAATCTTCTGTTCTATTAAGAAGATTAATAAAAAATTAAAAGTATATACAACTTTTTGATTCAGAAGAGAATCTTTGCAGAGAAAAAACATGAGAGTTTCTGGTGTTAAATAAAACATAGCACTTTAAAACTATCTACAAAGATAGTATGTATATGCATTTCAGGAAGTGAAACTATCAAAGCCTTTTTATGAGAAATTGTGACTTTATGATTTCTTTTCTCTAACAAAGATAACAAAAAGGGTCAATGCCTCTTCTCCAATTAAGAACCGTAATGTATGGTTTAAAATATCAGTGAGAGTGGACACAGGTCCCCTTACAACCTGAGTCAAATGTTTCCTTTCCCTGCCCCGTTACTATCAGTCAGCCCAAAATCTGTGAACTCTTCATTCCAAACCAAATTTTTGACTTTGGAATTAGAAAGAAACAGAAAGTTACATACTTACTCCTCTCCCACAGTCTATTCTGCCCAAAAACCTCTGAAATGACATTATTGAAATGACAGAGTCCCATAACCTCCGGACTGTAAGCCAGTCCCTAAACCCACAGTACTTTACCATTCTAAGTTTATGGTTATCTCCCTCTTTATCTTCTTTTAAAGGATCCAGCAAAAGGAGAAAAATGAAGATAGTTCAAACTATATTGCATGAGATACCACAAAAGCAACCAAACCACACTTCACAGGAAATCTTATTTCTCAATAGCTAATAAACACCAATAGAAAAATACAAAGAAAATATACTTTTTTCTATGAGGGCATCATCTACTCTTAAATTCTTGTCACCAAGTGAATGAAGAAATACAATACCCAAAAGAACTGTGCCTTATAAATTGGATAAAAGTTAAGGAAACTTCTGATGAAGAGTCCCTTCACCTCCTACCCTCAAACAGCATGTTTTCTGAGAAATGGTTTCATCTGTCAAGAAATGACTAGCTCTAGCTGTGGCCTGAGCTGACAATACAGACTAGCTTCCTCTTTCAATACTGTCATAGTAAGCTTTTTTTTTTTTAAAGATTGGCACCTGGGCTAACAACTGTTGCCAATCTTCCTTTTTTTTTTTTTTCCCTGCTTTTATATCCCCAACCCCCGCCCTGTACACAGTTGTATATCTTAGTTGCACATCCTTCTAGTTGTGGGAGTGGGACGCCGCCTCAATGTGGCCTGACGAGCAGTGCCATGTCGGTGCCCAGGATCCGAAACCTGGGCTGCCGCAGCAGAGCGCGCAAACTTAACCACTCGGCCATGGAGCCAGCCTCAAGTAAGCTTTTTTTATAAACACCCCCTCCCCCCACCTTGTTTTCACCTAGTGTATCATTATTGTAAAGACATCTCCTTTTGGAAAGTCTTCAAGGTCAAAGAAGAAGGAGGATTCATATTCACAATAACCATGCTCAACAGGTTACACCAAGGCAGAGATCAAGAATAATTAATATAATTTAGGCAAGAAGACGACCAACTCTATCAATACAGCATTAACAGATTTTTCCCCTTTCATTCTCTTATTCTCAATCGGGGGGAAAAACATAAGTTTTCAAATACTGTTGTCCATACTTACATGGTACTTCCCTGCCAAGAACAGAAAGCATTTTATAGATATGTCAACCCACTTCAACCCTACAAGTAATATACCTGAGGCACAAACGTTATGAATTTTCCATCATAAATCAAGCAAGGAGCCAAAAGCAAAGCTAGAACTAAAACCCAAGTCACCATAAGCACTACCATATTAAAGAAGAGAAGAAACACAAACCTTAGTATACAGAGAGTATTAACATTTCAATTGTTTGCTCTGCAAAGAAAAATCTATTTGATAAATGCTTCCTTTACTGAACACATAACCAACTACAACTACTGTAGAAGATTATTTAGTACCTATGACGTGTCAGATACTGTATGACACATCTTACTGGGTTACGTCTCTCAATCCTCACAACCCTGTGAAGCTGATATTATGCTCATTCTACTGACACGCAGAGAAGTCAAGTCATTAGCCTAAAATAACATACTAGAGAAGCACAAGAGGAGAATCTAGGTTTGTGTAACTTAAGAGAATACATATTTCCCACACTACGTTCTCTCTGTTCCATCTAAGTTGGTTCCTTTAGCATACACCCTAAATTCTTCCTGGCATCGCCTTTCATATTGTTCTTCACCTCAGATATAATCTCCACCTTCATCTCTGTCACACAAACCTTACTTTCCCAAAGATCCAACCTATGAGTTTTCCACTCCAGAGAGCCTCTCCGATGGAACCTCCACCTTGATGGTCTCTTCTTTACATATAATATCTTCAATATTCATATAGAATTTCCAGTCAACAAATATATTTTAGGAGCCAGGCAACAGGGACACAAAGGTAAGACAATATCTGTTTAAAGCTTTTTAAAAGAAAAAAATTTCTATTAAGTAATAACTCCCAGTACTATAACTAATTGCATTATATGTTGTCAGAAGAAAGCTGACCAGCTGATGCCTGAGTAGGCCTAGTAAGATGAGCAGGCTTTGCCATGCAGGTGAAGAAGGGAAAATTCCAGCAGAAGGAGCACACATAAAGAGGATTAGAAAGGAATGGCATATCATGAAGGACTGGAAAACTCAGAAAGGCTGAAGAGCTGGGGAGATGAGAGAGAGGCCATGTTGAGGCCACACTCTGAAGGGCCTTCTGTGCTGTGGTATGGGCACAGCCAACCTCAATGAAGCTCCCTAAAGGATGGTCATAGCATATTTGATTTTCAAGGAAGTAACTACTAGCATCATAGAGGACAGACTGGAACAAGAGGAAGACAACTTAATACACTGATGTGC